ATGAGGTCACTAAACTAGCAAGTCATATGATAAAAGTTTAATTCTGCTAAAGACACAGAAGCCAATAATTTCTTGACTCATGTTTCTATCAATTTAATGTCTCAGAAGGTAGAAGAAATAAATCGCAGCACTGACATTCAGACCCAGAAAAATTTCTAAAAAATGGTGATGGGAATTTTTGAAGAAAGCAACCTCACGAGGCCTCCCCTGGTGGCGCAGCGGTCGAGGCTGCCCGCAGCCTCTGCAGTGCCAGTTCGATCCCTGGCCACTGGCGAGGGTCCCACCAAAAAAAGAAAAAAAGAGAAAGCAACCTCACAAGCAACAGTTTGGTGTAGCAGCAGACTTGGCTACCACATGTCACCTGTGAGCCATGTGATCTTGGACAGGTTATCTGATCTCTCTGAGCCTCAGTTTCTTCATCTGTAAATGCAAAGAATGATATCTATCATTGAGGGTAATTATCAGGATTAGAAATAATCTATGAATAAGTCCTAACATGTATTAGGCCCTCAATGAGTGGTGCCTATTTTTATTACTGTAGAAATTAGAGTGCTAACTTTCACAAAGTTAAACGAAAAAATAGATATGATTTCAAGACTCTAAAATAAGTAGGCAGTTTTAAAAAAATTTATCAGAAAAGTAAATTGGATGTATTAGGCTTATAGAATTCTTCTGCCCCCTAAACTACCTCAACTATGTATCCCACACTTCTTTTTATTTTTTCCCCACCACCAGCTCTTTTACCTCCTGTCTTTTTCTCCCTCCCTGTACCTCAGAACCCTCACAATATTTAAAAATAAGTATTTTCAAAATATTTTAATAAGCATTTTACTATGTCAGATCATCTGCTATGAAAATGTTCAGTACTTGTCTTTGTCATTCTGACTTGCATTACTAAGCATAATTCCCTTGAATCCCTTCTTTTTAAAGATTTATTTATGCATACAAGAAATGGGGCACAGGCCAGAGGTGGGGGTAGTGATGAGAGGAGTCACCACAGACAGAGCGGGGAACAGAACAGGCAGACTGACTGAAATACACTGCTGAGGGGAGCAGTAGATGAGGCAGGAGAGGTCTGCTGTGCCATGTGGGTAGCTCCCTGGCCGGGGAATCTAACTCATGCTGCAGTGGCTGTGCACAGCCTCATAGGCTGTGTCTTAACCCCTTGCGCCACTAGGGAGGCCTGAATCCCTTCTTTTTGCTGTAAATGGCTGCATTTCATCTTTCCTCCTGGCTGAGTAGTACTCCATGGGTGGATAGACCACATCTTCTTGGAGTAAGCGACTGTTGATGGACATAAGGCTGCATCCACATCCCAGCTATTGTCAATAGTGCTGTAATAAGCATTGGAGGGCATAGAAGACTTTTGTATTGATGATTTCATGTTTGTTGGATATAGACCCAAGAGTGGGATTGCTGGGTCACACAGCACTTCTTGTTTTGTTTTGTTTGTTTGTTTGTTTGTTTGTTTGTAGGACCCTTGCCGGCGGCTGGGGAACGAACTGGCGCTGCAGAGGCTGCATGCAGCCTCGCAGCCCAGCTCTCAACCACTGCGCCACCAGGGGAGGCCCCACACAGTATTTCTATTTTTAGTTTTTAAAGGTAAATCCAGATCATTTTCCATAATGACTGCAACAGTTTACATTCATCCCCACCAACAGTATAATAGGGTTCCTCTTTTTCCAAGTCTCCTTCAGCACTTGCTGTTGAGGGTCTTTTTAATACGTGCTGTTGTCACTGGTGTTAAAAAGCCACATTGTGGTTTTAACCTACATCTCTCTTATTGGAAGCAATAATGAACTTTTTTTCACATGTCTGCTGGCCTTCTGGATATCATCCTCTTTGGTGAATTATCTATTCATATCCCATATATTAGTTGGATTTTTTATTTATTTGTTTATTTTTTATTTACACAAGAGCCGGGGTACAGGCCAGATTCACGGGAGGATGAGAGGATTCACCAGAGACAGAGCGGGGAACAGAACAGGCAGACTGATGAAATACACTGCTGAGGGGAGCAGCGGGCAAGACTGGAGAGGTCTGCCACGCCATGTGGGACCCTCGCCTGCCAGCCGGGATGGAACCGGTGCTGCAGAGGCTGCAGACAGCTTCACAGCACTGCGCTCAACCGCCTGTGCTACCAGGGGAGACCCAGGATTTTTTTTTACTGTTGTATGAATTTTTTAATATATCTTAGATATTAATCCCTTGTTGGTTATATATTATGTAAAAATTTTCTCCTTTTCAGTGGGATGTTTTTCAATGTTCTAATATTTTCTTTTCTTTTTTTTTTTAAAGATTTATTTATGCATACAAGAACTGGGGTATAGGCCAGAATTGTGGGGGGCGAGAGAATTCACCAAAGACAGAGTGGGGAGCAGAACAGGCAGATCTACTGAAATACTCTGAGGGGAGCAGTGGGGTGAGACAGGAGAGGTCTCCTGCATCATGTGGGTAGCTCCCTGGTGGGCCGGGAATCAAACTCATGCTGCAGAGACTGTGGATAGCTTCAGAGTGCTATGCTTAACCCCTTGCACCACCAGGGAGATTCCCAATATTCTGATATTTTCTTTCATGGTGCAAAAGCTTTTTAACATTAGGTAATCACAATTTTTTTTAAAAGGTTTATTTTATTTATTTATGCATACAAAAACTGGGATTTAGGCCAGAGGTGCGGGGCGGGGGCGGGGGGTAGGGAGATGAGAGGATTCACTAGAGACAGAGTCAGGAGCAGAACAGGGGGATCTACTGAAATACACTGCTGAGGGGAGTAGCAGGTGAGACAGGAGAGGTCTGCTGGGCCATGTGGGTAGCTCCCTGGCTGGGGATTGAATTCATGCTGCAGTGGAACTCATGCCACAGTGGCTGGTGATAGCTTGACAATGCTGAGACTTTAACTCCTGCACCACCAAGGAGGCCCAACACAATTGTTTCTTGTTTGTTTTATTCCTCTAATGTTTATAATTATTTTTGCTTTTATTTCCTTTGCCCGAGTGGTTGAGTCTCCAAAAACATCTTTATCGTTGACGTCATGGGACAGGTCACTAATATTTTTTCTTATATTTTATTGTCACAAGTCTTATATCTAAATCTTTAATTCATTTGGAATTTATTTCTGTATATGGAGTTAGAGAGTGTTCCAGTTTCATTCTTTTATTTGTGACCTTCCAGTTCTCCTAACCATTTATTAAAGAGACTCTCCTTTCCCCTTGTACAGTTGTAGCTGCTTAGTCTTAGATTAGATACTGATCTATATTCAAATTTATGTTTGAGCTTTCAGTTCTATTCTGTTGATCCATGTACCTATACCTATATTGTTTTTAGTATTGTTGCTTTAGAGTAAAGTTTGAAGTCAGGTAACATGATGCCTCTGTTTCTTTCCTTTTTTCTCATAATTGCTTTTGCAATTTGAGGCCTTTTGTGGTTATATATAAATTTCAATAAATTTTGATCAATTTCTTTGAAAAAAATATTGTTGGTATTTTCATGAATATGGCATTAAATTTACATATCACTGGATAGTTATTTTGATTCTCCCTATCCATGAGCATAGGATGTCTTCTTATCTTTCAGTAACATCTTGTAGTTCTTGTCCTACCGGTCCTTCACCTCCTTAGGTTAATTCCCAGGTGTATGATTGTTTTTGAAACATTTGTAAATGGAGCTATTTTCTTAATTTTTTCTTCCTTGTTTGTTGTTTGTAGCTATGGATTTTTCTTTTTCTTTTCTTTTCTTTTTTTTAAAGATTTATTTATTTATTTATTCAAGAACCAGGGCACAGGCCAGATGTGCGGGAGGGTGAGAGGATTCACCAGAGACAGAGCAGGGAACAGAACAGGCAGACTGACGAAATACACTGCTGAGGGGAGCAGCGGGTGAGACAGGAGAGGTCTGCCGTGCCATGTGGGACCCTCACCCACCAGCCGGGATTGAACCAGCACTGCAGAGGCTGCAGACAGCTTCACAGCACTGTGCTCAACCGCCTCACCACTAGGGGAGGCTCTTTTTTTTTTTTTTTTTTTTTTTTTAAGATTTATTTTACTTATTTATGCACACAAGAGCTGGGGTGTAGGCCAGAGATGGGAGGGGGGTTGTGAGACGGTTCACCAGAGACAGAGCCTGGAGCAGAACAGGTGGATCCACTGAAATACACTGCTGAGGGAAGCAGCAGGGAGACAGGAGAGGACTGCTGCGCTATGTGAGTTAGCTCCCTGGCTGGGGTGGAACTCTTGCTGCAGTAGCTGGTGATAGCTTCACAGTGTTGAGACTTAACCCCTTGTGCCACCAGGGAGGCCCTGTATTTTGTTTTTGTAATCTGCCACTTTGTGGTATTTATCTATTGTTTCTAATAGCTTTTGGGTGGAATCTCTAGGGCATTCAGTACGTAATATATCATAGCTATTAACACTCATATATCTTCAATGTCAGACCAAGCTCCCAAGAGGGTGGGGACCTTGTGATGTCGTGTTCCCAGCTGAAAACTTAGCTAATACAGCTCACAATAATGAGACATTGGACGAATACCTTCACAGCACAGAAAATACCTTCACAGGGTGCAGGCGGATTGGCAGATCTGTCTAAGGTTGAGCAGAAAGCTTCCAGGGGAAGAGCTGAAGTAAGAATTCAGAGATCCAGGCAGCAGGCTCTCAGAATTAAATCAAGGCACAGCCCTGAAGTTTGATGATTCACGCAGGAACACAGCCAGCCAGTGAACACAGTGGCCTAAGTGCTTGCCCCTTTTTCGTTTTGGGGAGCCAAGGCCAGGAGCAGGCGGCTTAGTGAGCAGTGGGTGGATCCCTGGCATGGCTGCGGGCCAAGTCACGGCGGGTGGCTGCTGCGGCCAGGCCGCCCCAGTAGCAGAGAGTGAAAAACAACCTGACTTCAGAGAGACAATTAACAAAGGCAGGGGATCCGCCGCCCCCACTGCCTCCACGGCGCACGCACGCGCGCAGAGTGAGCAGAGCCGCGCCCTCCCGCGCCCTTCGTGGGACTCGCCGCGGCGCGGGTCGGGGGAGCAGGGAGCCCCTTTGGCCGGGGTTGCACTTTCACCTGGTGGCGGAGCTACGCGCGTGAGCTAGGCATCTGGCGCGCGCGGTGAGTCTGCCAAGGCCATTGGGGCTGGCCGGCTGGATGGGGTCGGGGAGGGGGCCCGGGAAATAGCTGCTGGACAGATCCGAAAAGGGAGGTGGGGGGACCGCAGGAGCCTTCACGGTGGGGATCGCTGGGTATCTAGCTGTGTGTTTGAGCCTTATAGGAATGCAAGCAACCTGACCATGTGATCCAGGTGTTGGGTTACAGAGGGGAACTGAGGCTCAAAGAGGTAAGCTGGTCTAGTGAGAACTAATTCTTATCCCTGGTGTCTGTTTATCCCTACCTGTTTCGAATTGGGGCAGTTTTTCAAAAGAACTCATGTTTAAACAATGGAATAATGCAAACAATGGTAAAGAATTTTGCCATGGACAGTAAAATTATGAATAGACGGACAAGGCCAGGGGTAAAGAGAATGTAGATATGAGGTCCATAAGGTGAGCTGCCTTGACCAGCGGCCCTCAGGAAAATATTGCTGAAACTGGAACTCAAAGCCAGAATGTCTGTGCCCCCCACACTGTGAGCACCCGAAATTTAAAGGGGAGTGGAGATGCCCACAGTTTGCCCAGGCACTGGTTCTAAACCTTCTTGGAATCACTGAGCCCTTTGGAATCTGGATCCCTTTCCCACAAAGGGGTTCATGCCCATGAAACACAGTTTCAGATCTGGCATGAGGCATTCCTGCCGTAAGGAGAGGCTGAAGCCTGGCCCTTGGGTTGTGCCATTCCAGAGTAATTTCATTGCTCCTTTGAAAGAAAGCAACTGGTGAAGGAATGAGTACTTACTTACCTTGAGTCCAGACAACTGCTGGACACAGCTAACTGTGTGATTTTGGACACAGAGTTTAGCCTATCTAAGATCCAGTTTTATTTGTAAAATGGAGTTAAGATTGTTTGCTTCATCCTTCAGTTATTGTTAAACTTAAGAATGAATGAGCCCAGAGCCTGGCATGTAGTATCTGCTCCATAAAAGTGCTGACTAATCATGGCGCTGCCAGTTTGGAAAGGATGACCTGCAAGAAATTGGGCTGCATCTGAAATAAATAAAATTATAAACATGCAAACATAAAGTTGGTGACAGAACTGAAGTAAGAGTGTACTTATTTAGAATAAAGCACCACTCTCAATATTTGACCCAGGGTGAAATGCTGAATGTATCTATGTGGAAACTACCAGACATTCTAACAAGGACTGTTTATTGGGCCTCACTAACCTCTTTGAATGGTTTGTTTTTAAATGAGAAGAAAGAGGAGGACATAAATGGGGATCCAGGCAACACCCAACATTACCCAGAGGTGGAGGCTCAGCTGAGTTTCTGCCAGGGTACAGGAGCTGTTGGCAGTTGGCTCACATCCCCTTGGGTCAGCAGCTTACTGTGCTAACCGGTGCCTTGGTTGATTCTGCTCTAGATCAAATAAAAGCATTTTGTTTAATTAACGATTGTATGTGCGGGGCGTGTGGTTAGGTTCCATAATGGAAGCAAAATGATGCTTGTTGAGCTAGAGTCTGTTGCTTGTTTCTTGACAGGCTTAAGAATTTAAAAAATCTCTGCATCCAAAATTGTAAGAACAGGGCCTGGGCAAGAACTGCCATTACAAAATTTGTAAGGACTGCTCTTGCAAAATACTGTGCCTCCTTCTTTCTCTGCCATTTTAGGCTTTGCAGATAAAGCCAGGAAAATATGACTTAGGGCAAATAGCTGCTACTTGGTTTGTGTTAAGACACACATTACCTGTCTAGTGAGTTGTAGTCCTTTTCATGTGTTTATAGAGGGGAGTTTTTCCTCAGAAACTCTCTCTTTCTATCATGTTTCTGGGATGTCTTTTGCCCACTCTGTATGTCATCCCCAAGTACTTATTTCTCAACCTAGAAGTCCTTCCTCTGCAAGCATAGTGATTTTGGCAATTCCTTCCCTTCTTGGCTCTGTGGCCTAATATTTCTAAATAGCTCTGACTTTTCTGATTTGACCTTTATGTGCTCCATGGGGCATAGAGCAAACATGTTTGTTCTCTCAGGCATAGGCTCTCAGGCATAGGTTCTTTATTTGAAGGCAGCCCTTCTTCCCTTCTGTATGTTTCCCCCTCCAGGCACACCTTTCATTCCTTCAACCATTCCTTAGTAGGACAAGATTAAGAGCAGAATTTCTCAAAAAAAACGATCTGCAGACAACTTGCGTCTTCGAATACCTGATACAAGGGACTTTTGATCAGGGGCGTGTGAAAATGTCCATCCCTGACCTGCTGAATCAGAAACTTTGTGGAAGAAAGAATTTGCATACCTAATTGGTGCTCTTGGTGATTCCTATGTATCTTTGGCTACCTATTTGGGGATTGGTAATGGAGGACTAATTAACCTCTTTATCAATGTCTGTATGGTTTGTCTAGTTAATGAGCAAGAGCTTTCTTAAAAATAATTTAAATTACAAAATGTGGTGTACAAAGAAGATATATGGGTGGCATATAAGCCCTTGAAAAGATATTCAAGATCATTAATCATTAGGGGAATGCCCATTAAAACCACAAATGAGCTATCGCGTCATACTTATTAGGATGGTTGAAATGAAAAAGACTGATTATACCAAGTGTTGAAGATGTGAAGGAACAGAACTGCAAGTCTTCTATATTGTTGGCAGACATCTAAAATGGCACAATTAAAAAAAAAAAAGCATTGTCAACTAAAAATAAATTGAAGCAAATAAAATTAAGTGAATTTATTCAAGAATCAAGAGTGAGGATTTGAGCCTGGAAAAAGGCCCCATGTAACTCTGGAAAAGCTCCCCAAATTCTGATCTTCTCAGTAAGGTTTATATAGAGTTATTTCAAGGATTCCTGTAGAGGCAAAGAAAATTTGGGTAGGTGTCTGTTAATGTATTTATCTGATATTATCTATGCATTGAGGAAAATTATCTATGCATTGTTAAATTTACCCTGTTTGGTTAGAACCTTATCTTCTGGGAACTGGGAATTTTAAGTGGTGTCATAAACCTCAAAGTCTGTCTTTCCTTGAAGTTACTGATTTGCTCTGAGATAGCTATCTTCAGGGGCTGCAGCCTCTTCACACGACTAGGTCTGATTCTGACCTTGCACCTCTTTCTTGAGACAGGGTGGTGGTGGGAGCATGCCTGTGGGGCAGCTATTGCTTTAGCAGCAGATTCTGCAGTATCTTCAAGAGTTGGGTGATATTACAGATTTAAACATTTGTAGCCTATTCAGATAGTTTTATTCTGTTAACTCTGGTGTGCCTCTCTTTGCACAGATCCTAGAAACAAGGTTTCCTGCATTGGGTGTTGATGACTAGAAACAAGGAAAGGGGCCCCAGAGTTAGGGAGTCTTACACAATATAGGAGCTGAGGTTTTTGTTTTGTTTTGTTTTGCTTTTTTTCAGAGAAACGAAAGCTTTGGAAGTCAGGGAGAAGTTTGTGATGGGCAGAACTCTTGGCAAGTCCAACAGTCTGAGAGACCTTGTCCCACCCTCCCACCCATGTGCACACGTTAGCAAGGGCTTGCGAGATGCAGATGAGGACATTATCTTGCCAGGCCAAAACCAGAGTAAAAGGAAGAAGAAGAAAGAGAGTTAAAGTATGATATGCTTTTCTGGGTGGACACAGCCCACATCGATGTCAGCTGCTTCTCCTCCTCGTCAATTTGGTTTGCAGTTTCCTGCATCTGCCCAGAGCCAGATGTCAGGTGGAGCCTTCACTAGCTCTGAGATATATTCTCAAGGTTCCTGCCTTTGAAGTTTGGCTGCCGTGTGAATAGTGAGGAGGAGGTGATGTAGTCTTTTCTAAGGAAATTCAAGGGCAGTCTTCATTCTTAGTGATTCCAAATGAGGAGAGTGGGAGAAAACTAGAAATATTAGTTTGGAGAGTTGTAACCAGATATTCGAAGAAACTAGAATTCAGCATCCAGTTCAGTTTACAGACTATAACAAAGCCTCAAAGATAATCAACAGGATTGCTAGTATCTACAAAGGTACAAACACAATTTTTCTCTCTACAATTATCTCCAATATTTTCTAATACTAATTTGTGTAAAATTTGGCCTGGTTATTGATGTAAGTGAAATTCTTTTTAAGACTGCTTTGCTGGCACTTTGCAAAATCTTTTGAGGTCAAGTCAAGAATTCACTATCAGATTTTACCTACAATACCTGTAGTTTAGGTGAATTTCTCTAATATGCCATTTTTGTCAAAGTCTTGGGCCTTCCTGGTGGCGAAGGGGTTGAGCACAGCACTGTAAAGCTGTCCATAGCCTCTGTGGCACTAGTTCGATCCCCAGCCAGTCAGGGAGCTATACCCACATGGCACAGCAGACCTCTCCTGACTCACCCGCTGCTCCCCTCAGCAGCAGTGTACTTCGGTCAATCTTCCTGTTCTGTTCCCTGCTCTGTCTCTGATGAACCCTCTCACCACCCACACCTCTGGCCTACACCCCAGTTCTTGTGTGCATAGATGCATAAGTCTTTAAAAAAAAGTCTTGATAATATAACCAATATTTCCAATTGTGTCCTGTTACAAGGAGGGTATAATATATTTATCAACTTTATGCAAATAATTAGCTATATTGACTAAATTCTGGAGGGATCAGGTAGGAAGGAAAATGTTTCATTTGTTTACAAAAGTGTTCTTTACCAAATTGCTGTAATCATGGATAGTTCTTAAGGGGAACGATTTCAAACATTAAGGAATCAGCAATGTTTCAACAAAAATTTTTTAAACTCCATGTAATAAATTCTTGTTTTAGTTGAATCCAGTTTTTCTACTAGTTCTGGAAATTTTTACCCAGTTCAGTGTTATGATCTTAAAGTTATTAGGAACCTGTATTTGTCCAAGTTTTTCCCATGAATCTCCTTGAGGATGAAGCACTTTTGTAGGAACATTTTTGCCAAAACATCAGAGTAAAACATTAACTATAAATGACCAAAGATGGCTAAACATCTGTCCAGAGTTTACTATAAAGCAATTGACAAGGAAATGTTATTCTGTGCTGTCCATTTTCAGATAATAACT